ATTTATTTATGAAGTTCAAAGCTTCAAAAATAGTGTAGATCGACATATCTCTAATTCTTGAAAATTGACGGTCCAAAAATGTTTTACAAAATTTCAAAACTTGCAATCTATTTTTTTCTCATATCCATGCATCTTGATGTCGAGATGGTCAATTTGAAGATATTTGGATATCAAAACAATATCTTCTAATGAAATTTCCGAGGTAGGCTGAATTTTGATTGTTTAGAGCCTTGGCTCTATATAAACTTTTCCCTTTGGATATTGAGGATATGAAGTTAGAATGATAACTAAGGATATTCAAAAACCAAAACTAAGAATTGTCTTTTTATATGTGCCCTTAAAAATCCGAAGTAAGGGCATCACAGAAAAGAATAAAAAAGGAACAGAAATTTACAAAACACCTCCAAGTATACACTTTTTATGTAACTTACCCCCAACTTTTCTAATAAATACCCCCAACCCAAAAATCAAAAAAATACTAAACTACTCTAACACTTTTACCCCATGCCTCTTTCTCTCCTCTTTCCCTTGTTTTTCTTCAAAACTGTTGTCCGACAGTCAAAACAAGCAATCCGGCACTTTTCGTTCAAGTCAAAACTATGATCCGACATTTTCATTCTGGTTAAAACAACGGTCCGACAAATTGAACAAGCGGTTTGGCATTTATGTTTCTAGACAAAAGTGTGGTCCAACAAATCAGACACGCACTCCGACACTTATTTTCTCTAGACAAAAGTGAGGTCCGGAAAATTGAACAAGCAGTTCGGAACATTTTTCCTAGACACAATGCGGTCCAACAGAGAATGAACGCGATCCGACTTGTTTTTTAGTTTAATGGGGTCCGGCAATAGGTTCATGGTGGTCCGGCAACGCATGTGGCTTTTGATACTGTATGCATGCCCATGTGAATGTCTGGCCAAAATTAATATTTTTTGTATGAAAGGGGTATTTTTTGTCAAAAAATATGCATTTTTGTACTTGAGGGGTATTTGCTAAGAAAATATATTTTGGGAAAAAAAAAAAACAAAGAGAGAAAAACTTGGGTTGGGGGTAAGTTACATAGGAAGTGTATTATTGGGGATTTTTTATAATTTTCCCAAAAAGGAAAAAAAGATATTAATATAAAAAGGGAAAAAGTCTATATAACCTTCAAAATTAGATTTACAGATGCACCTCAAAAATCCATCTGAAAATATTGTTTTAATGTCTCTAATTGATATATCTTGACATTGAGTTTTTTTTTTTAAAAAAAAAAAGGTTTTGAGTCCCAGAAATAGTGCATCTTGCAACACATTATTTGGACCGCCCATTTTCAAAATTTTCATATATTTATATATCTACTTGATTTTAACCATTATTGGAGTTTAGAATTTTATAAATAGATATAAATATAGATTTTCAGATAATCCTCATAATTTTTTACACCAAAATTGCATGTTATGTTGAAATTTGGAATTGCGCTTTAATTGAATTGTTTAAAACCACATCCTATAAAAAGTAAATATTAAAGAATATTTTTTATAACAAAATTCCTTCAGGGAGGAAAAAGTATAACTTTTACTCAAATAAAATTGGAAAGGGAGAGAGATAGAGAAAGAGGAGCTATGGGTGGCAATGGACCCGACCAGACGGGATCTGACAAGTAGACCCGACCTCCGGTCCAGGTGTAAGTCTACATTTTGGATCCAAAAAGTTGGGTCTGGGTCCAAAACCTAGACCGGAATAGTATTTGGGTCCAAGTCCGGGTCCAAGCGGACCCGACCTGAATAATATAAGCATATGTGGGTATTCATAAATGTTGCCAATACGTAATGTTTTTCAGGAATTTCCATTTATTACATAAATAGTAAAGAGTATATGTGGGTATCCATAAATGTTGTGCAATACTGTAAATATTGTCAATAACATGGGTATATGAAAGTAAAAAAAAAAAAGAAAAAAATGAAAAAAATAAAGAAAGTTCATAATCATAGCCCATGTATATATCATTAGTACTCTAATATTACGATTGATAAATAGAAGAAAAATAGTTGACCTCTCACCCCCTTTTGAGGGTCATTATTCCATTTCTCCATCTACTTAGGCAAGTGTTATAGAAAAGAAAAAGAAAAAAAAATATATATATATATATATATATATATATATATATT